CTTGGAAGCCTGAGGCGGAAGGATCGCCGGAGCCCAGTGGGTCAAGGCTGCTATGGCCGGGAGCGGCCACTGCACTCCAGCCTGGGTGACAGAGTGAGACTCCGATTCAAAAAAAAGAAAAGTCGCTGGGCCCGGTGGCTCAGCCTGTAATCCCGCACCTTGGGAGGCTGAGGTGAGTGGACTGCCTGAGCCTGTGGGTTCGAGACTCGCCTGGGAAACTTGGCGAGACCTCATCTCTACAATAAATCAAAAGTTAGCCAGGCGTGGTAGCGCATGCCTATAATTCCGGCTTCCTGGAAGGCTGAGGCGGAAGCATCTCTGGAGCCCAGTAGGTCGAGGCTGCAGTGGCCAGGAGCGGCCACTGCACTCTAGTCTAGGTGACAGAGTGAAACTCCAACTCAAAAAAAAAAAAAGACAAAAAAAAGAAAAGTCAATTTGTGAAAACACCAAGAACAAAGGCTGGAGTGAAAAACTTAGACCTGTGCTGTCCAACATGGCAGCTGCCAGCTGCATGCACCGGCTGAACACTTGAAATGTAGCTACTCAGAATTGAGATGTGCTGTCAGAGTAAAATACACACCGCATTTCAGACTCAGCAGGAAAAAAGAAGGTACACTATCTCATTAAATTTTTTTATGTTGTATGTTAAAATGACCATATTTTAGATTTAGTGGATTGAATAAAATATATTACTAATTTCACCTGTTTCATTTTACTTTTAAAATCACATATTCTGGCTGGGCTCGGTGGCTCAGCCTGTCATCCCAGCACTTTGGGAGGCTGAGGGGAGTGGATTGCCTGAGCTCAGGGGTTCGAGACCAGCCTGAGCAAAATGGCCAGACCTCATCTCTACCCTAAATCAAAAAATTAGCCGGGTGTGGTGGTACACACCTGGAGTTCCAGCTACTTGGAAGGCTGATGTGGGGGGATCAGCAGGTTGAGATTGCGGGGGCCGTAAGCATGCCACTACACTCCAGCCTGGGTGAGAGTAAGACTCTGACTCAAAAAAAAAAAAAGTAGTGTCCTGGCCAGGTGCGGTGGCTGTCGCCTATAATTTCAGCAACTGCTTAAGCCCAGGAGTTTGAGACTGGTCTAGGCAACACAGTGAGACCTCATCTCTACAAAAAACGTACAAACAAAAAAAATTAGCCGGCCACAGCAGCACGGGCCCGTAGTCCCAGCTACTGGGGAGACTGAGACAGAAGGATCATTTGAGCCCAGGAGATCAAGGCTGTGATAAGCTGCAACTCTGCCACTGCATTCCAGCCTGGACAACAGAGTGACACCCCTGACTCAAAAAAACAAAAAGTAATCTATTACGGAGTATTATCATTAGAAACCCCGGCCAGGCACGGGAGGTCATGCACTCTGGGAGGTCAAGATGAGAAGGCTGCCTGAGCCCAGGGGTTCGAGACCCGCCTGGGCAACTTGGCCAGACCTCATCTCTACAATAAATCAAAAAATTAGCCAAGCGTGGTGGCCCGTGCCTGTCGTTCCAGCTGCTTGGAAGGCTGAGGCAGAAGGATCGCCTGAGCCCAGAGGGTCGAGGCCGCGGTGGTCGTGAGCGTGCCACGACCCTCTAGCCTGGGTGACAGAGTGAGACTCCGACTCAAAAAAAAAAAAAAAAGAAAAAGAAACCCTAACTCCTCAGTTCCATAATGGATAACTGCAATTCATTCCATGCCTTTGATACTTCCTGCTGCTTATCCATTTTTGCTGCTTTTTCACGCATTTCATAAACATAACAAATATCCTTTAATAGTGGCCACGCTGCAGACTTTTCTTCGCCCAAACTCCACCTGCCCGCGGCCGCCTTTTGGAGTTAACCCTCCCTGGCACCGCACACCTCTGTGATGAAATTTTGTCTCGGACTCTTCCGGGGATAAGTGAAAACCCTGTTTAGCGCGCATCCCCCCCGCCTTGGAGATCCAGGCAAACGGCCACCCGCCAAGCCCTGTCCGGCCGCGGCCAGCGGTGGCGGGAGCGCACGGCCCCCCCCAGGG